AGCATCGCAATGAGATCCTCTCGCACGAAGGACGGGGGCGCAATGCCTTCCGACTTGTACCTGAGGTTAGGGGCACCTCAAGTACATTTGCTATTGGGTTAGAGGCCATCACTTTTAGGTTGGAGGCCATCGCTCTTAGGTTGGGGGCCATTGCCACTACTTGGAGGCCCGAGGTTAGGGGCACGAGCATCTTAAACACCAACCTCCGGAGTTGGGACATTTCGACAGAAGCACAGCAAGAGCAAGAACGCTACTAGGGGCTCCTGGCCTTACTACTAGGAGCAATGTTCGCTACTAGGGGCTCCTGGCCTCGCTACTAGGAGCAAGGACACTACTAGGGGCACAGAAGCACAAGCTCCAATTGCTCCAACTGCAGCCCTGCTGCTGTTCCCACAACTCAGCATCTGTGAGCGTCTCCAATGGCGGTCTGGTGCGATGGCGCGTCGGTTGTTGGATCCAACGCTGGATGGTTTTGCTTGCTTCTAAAATTTCCACCTGGGCAACCTTGAGCACCTTAATGGGCAAGGATGACATGCGGGGCGCTTCCTGCCTTTGTGACAAGCCCTCATCTGACCTGAAGTCACTGCAGTTGACCCAGAATCAATATCAAATCCACATAGAAAATGTGTTCCCGCGTTCAAAACGCAATTCCAAATGCTACTTTTGTGTGATTGTGTGTATATGGTCATATTGGCTCGCAGCTGAACTTCAGGCACTGGATCGAATAGAACAAACTTCTGTGGAGCTCATTGTAGTTTCCCTCCAAAGCTGAGCATTCAGGCTCGACGTTGTCCTTCAGCTCAGTGTGACCTGACAACGAAAATACTATAATCATAAACATATGCATTTCTTTTTTTTGGATCCCCAAGCCAAACTTGCAGGTCTCAAGGTCTCGAGGACAAGTGACTGCAGCTCATGTTAAAAGCAACAGATTCTACAGGCGTGTAGAAATGTCTTTGGTGGCAGACTTCATTAGATGATTTTGAATGGCAAGGATGCCCCCGGATGCCAGCCTGTCTGAAGCGGAGCGTCCTGGTCAAGCATCGAGTAGCAGAGAAGCACATCCTTCACCTTTTTCCAGAGCCCTACAGTACCAAGTCCTAGCCCGGGATGAGCTCTTCCAACCACATTGGAACCAATCCACACCCTTTGCTCACAGACTACGTTGGCCAACACAAACATTTCACGCACCAGCCGCGGGTACAAAATGGTACAAATCTCAAATTAAATGGCACATCGCATAGTCGTTCCCAATTCGTCTGCTGTGCAGTGTGGAAACAGGGCACGAAAAGCATAAAGGTAAGTAAAGGCATAATTAAATGCCTTGATGTGCTTTCAAGGTTTACAAATATTGAACCTTGTAAATCTACATCGCCTGAGGTTCCAGGTCCACACTACTGGCATGCATTAATTGGCTTGCCTTGCGGTCCATATTCCACTGGGGTGAGGCCACTACGAAGCACTTCTCCTTGCAAATCCGTTCAACTGTCTTTAGAAATCGTATACACAAGAATCTTTGCCAAACGAACCCAACTCGCCTGTGTGGAACGACGCCGCTCAGCTGGGCGCCGCTTGCGCCGTGGCTCCCTTTCGACAGGCCTCTTGGAGGTGTGACTGTGAAGCACAACACTTTGACAAAAAATGAACAAAGGAAGGTAAGGTCACATTTAATGAGGGGCCCTTTGAAGTAAAAGGCCCCTTATTGAAGGAGGCTGTACCTTCCTTTGTTCATCTCTTTTTGGTCAAAGTGTTGAGTGATCCCTCATGACCTCACCCGCCATCTCTCATGAAAAGTCCGTTGTCCAAGCATCTTGATGATTCCATTGTCACACATGAATCTAAGACTGCCGTTTGAGCATATTCATTCGTTACCAAAAAGCCATCCAGCCTCAACTCTTCAGCCGCGGAGAACTTCTTCAGTGCGCTCAGGGTCACCGAGGCAAAGCGCTTTTCCCCTTTTTGCTTCAAGGACCTCACCGAAGAGGGCTTCAACATGCGTCAATTCAGCTAACCTGTTAACCTATATATGGCTACAGTATATTATATATATATATATGTGTATTGAAAAAATGAGAGGAAAAAGAAAGTAAGGCTAGCAGTTGATCGAATCATTATATATGTCATTTTATGTGTACAATGCGCGAAACCGTGGTTCAAGCCAAGCCATTATATTATGGCAGCCACTGGATGATGGGAACATGAAAACATATCAACAACTAAAGAACCTGAGCTCTACGTTGGAAGATTTGTTGAAATGTGCTACGGTTGCTGGTGTTTGGCCAAGTGAAGAGGTTGGAGTGGCAAACGTGGATATGGAATTACATCCAAGCTGCTCATTTAGAGAGTTGCCCCTCAGCTCGAGTACCAGCTCAGGGATATTTCGTACGCCAATCCTCTCCAACTTTGCTTGAACAGCGTCCACATCCTGTCAGAAAGCCGTTGCCCACTCTTAAAGCTTCACTTTCACTGAAATTGAATTTGCCGTGCCCTTACCATCCCTTACCTACTGCAAAATAGGTACACCGTCCCTGTTTAACGATATGTCGCAGCTAAGCAGTGGTTACAATCCTCGTTTACTTTCACCCTGGGTGCCGCTAAACAGACTTGAAAAACCCTTTGTTCTTCTTATCAGAACCACATGCTCCGGTCCTTGCTGCCCCAGGCTGGCTGCGCGCGACACAACAGTTCACGCAAGCGTTGCTCTTCCGTCATTGCGCCGGAAAAAAGAGTACAGAAAAAAGAGTCCGTCATTGTCACCTGCTTATTCCAGAAAACAAGCACACTCCATATGCTTATTCCAGAAAAGGGAATCGCATCACCACATCTTGATGAATCCAATCATAGCTCAAAGTGCCAGCCAGAACAGCTCAGAATCCAGTTCTCTGCCACATGACATGACCACTTGGATAACCCCACAAGCCTCTTCTCCTCGCTGCAAGACAACGGTTTGAAGCAAGGACTCTCAAGGTGGTATATCAATTCGCTTAGTTCAATTGGTGCAGAAATCAACTAGCAGTTGTTCTGTGTGCGTTGTGACTTTTTCCAGAGGCCTTGACCTGCGGGAAAGCCCTGCTTCGGCTTGTTCTTCAAGCTAAGGTGAGACAAACTCATGCGCAAACGTGCTGTGAGCTGTAATGTCTATCAAAAATATCATGGACCTCAGAAACCGATTCTTTGGTGATTGCCTGGTTTCAGCAGATACACCTGGGTCCCATCAAATTCAACACAATAGCCTATGGTTTCCCTTCTCCAGGGTTTCCAGTCTTGCAGGACCGAGAGCACTACCGGAGCGACAGCTCAGGTGGTCAATTGTGACTCTCTTGCTGTCGACATTGAGCTCCAGAGCGCCTGGAGTAGCTTCAATCTCCTGCCGAAGGATTGCACTTGCAAAAAAGAGAATCTCCTGTCTCGTCTCACACTTGGGAGACCCCTGGCAAAAAGGAAAAGAAAACAGGCTTGCGCTTCCCAAGTTGCCATCACACCGCCTCGCGCCTCTCTTTTCCATGAAGGGCAAACCGCAGCCCGTGCTCCGCGGTGCACCCGCGGCGCGGTTGCATTCGCGGGAGCCTCGAATTGCAGGGGAGCACCTTTAGTGTCAAAGAGGAGGTCACTAAAGCACAGTATGGTATGAACAATACTAAGTTAAACTAAGCCAAGGCGCATTCCATGAAGTGCCTTTCAAACTCCTTTGGATCTCGGCCACTCCGCTTTTCGAGTTCGGCCACAACAGTGCCAAAGAGGTCCTGACACCCGAAAACATTGGGAAAGTTACCTGTGAACTCCGTTCTCTACTATAATGTACAGCTTTGCACAGACCGCAGTAGGAGATTCTGCACCCTTCTCAACTAGACTCAGCATCCCTCCTGCGGCCTCCTCTGCACCTGAACTGGTATGTCAACTAAGCCTACAAATGAAAAAACTTCACATGCAACGAAATCGAAGTACGTGGCAAGTTGTTTCTACGTTCGCTCCCCTAGTAGCGTCCTTGCTCCTAGTAGTAAGGCCAGGAGCCCCTAGTAGCGTCCTTCCCTGCTGAATTGGGATCGACCTGTGAAGCTACAAGTAAGAACGAAGGCGTAGCAAAATTGAGTCTCCCAAGCTCACTCGCATGTCGCAAGGACCGAGTGAAGCACCACGTCTTTCAGCACCTCTGCCACAGCTCTGGCGGGGGAATCCATGCCTGAGCGCCCGTAGGATTTCTTGGGACGTATTCAAAGCCACCGTGTCCAGGCTGGACTTTCTTGGCAAGTTTCCTACTGGGCAGAGATTCCTAAAGCACCATCATCACTCTTGGAGCTCTAGAACATGACTCCTGCTTCTATCTACTGGACCAGTCTAGCACGAAAACCCTGCTCTTGCTGGGTTGTAAAATAGTTCAGCTCCTATGTAGTATCCTCCATTCACTGCACGTTAGGGCAAATTTTGAAAGCCCACAATCACCCCAATGACTTCCTTCTGCTCAAACCTGTCTGGTGTGGAAGTCGAGCATCGAAGCATAGACTGAGCACGGTCACCAAGACGAAACTCGACCAAGGCAAGCACCGGGGAAGGAAGTTGTTGCCGCAACCCAAATGGTTCAGGAAACAAAAAACATTGAGCCAACAGGTCTCCAAGGTCTTTGCTAAATCTTCGTGTCTGAGCCATTCAAGTAAATCGGGTAGTTGTCAATGTACCTTCAATCATATATATATAATATATATATATATATAACCAAAACATCTCCAACAAGGCAAGGATTCTACGAAGGTCCCACAAAAAAAGATGGTGTCTTTGACTTGTTTCACACCGTACAAACCAATGTGCCGCTTGTCTTTTGAGAATCCTCTCTTGACCTCACATGTTCACCCTCTTTTGCCCCATAGTTCCACTGTGAATCTTGCCAAGTTTGCTTGCTTTTCAAGCCAACCAGGCAAGGCAACGCGTCCGTCGCAAATGTCGTCTGTGACTGTCTGCTATCCACACCCTGCCCTCCTGCTCTAGACTTTCTGCAATTATCCAATGGACAAAGACAGAAAAGACTTGCCTGCAAACGGCCCTTCTACCGAAAATAGTGAGACATGACACTTTTTGTGTCGGCTGGCGCTCTCCTTAATGTTTGCAAAGTCTCTTCAAGACTCAGCTTGGGCTCAAGTGGCCGATGCCTTGTCAAAGGTTGAGACTTTGATGTGTGGTTTTGCAATGTTGGAGAATTATAGCATTCCAAAATTTAAAAACAAACAAACAAAATGACAAATATGTAACTTGATGTTTTTCTCATACTACTACGACATCTAAGCTCACAACCTGCACATCGACACAGGCTCAACCTGAATCGTCAAGCCACCCTTGAACTGACCAACGGCCTTGATTCTCCCAGCCCAACCCTCACCCTTTTCAGGATGATCTGGATTATATCCAGCACAGGATCAGAGAGAGGAATGCTCAGGTACCCACCAAACGAAGAATAGTGTCCGCCATGAGCACCTGACACTCAGCTCCAGTCAAGGTCCGGTTTTAAGCACTGAGTTATTTCAGCAGTATCTTACTCTTGAAAACAATATCTAGGACGAGCCTATCACTGTGGAAAACACGATGTCGAAGAAGCTAAGGCAGCTATGTAGGGCTTAATAAAGAGCTCTGACTTCAGCTGTTGCTCTTCTTTCATCTTCTTTCTAAAGTGGTTTGGAGCTGCTTGACCTCCCCGATATCGCCCTTTAGTTCTCAACCGTACCATCCAGTACCATCCAGTACCCTGTTTGCACTGTTTGCACCCTTGCCGACACCTTTCAGCACAGCTTGTCAACTACAAAGCACGTGTCTTTCCGTCTCACCTTCAGCTCAAGCGTGCGCCGAGTGCACTTTCGGTGAAAGCGCCTGGTCCAGGCATGGGAGATGGCCTCCCAATGCCGTTGTGGCGGCCCTTCAAGCTCGCACATGGTGCATCACCCACCTGGGTGTCCCAAAAATCGAAAACAATGTGTGTGTATATGTTTTGTGTCTATTATGTTATATATATATATTATATTATATATATATATGTTATATATATATTATATATATATATGATGCAAAAAAATGTTCTACAAGGTGTGACGGTTGTGAATTCTCACTTCGCGCATCACAACCAGGCAAAACATTAAACGAGGTCTACAGTGCGCGGGTTGCCAAATTCTCCTTGTCTGCTCGACGCCTTTTCTGGAGAGTGTATGTCTGGATATACCAAAAGCCCAGGAGGCTTGCCAAATTCTTCATCAAGGTGAAGGTGACACCGATTTATCTACTTCTTCGCTGTATGTCCTTGAAATGTTGTCGCACATGCTGACAAATAAGCCTTATGAAATGAGGGCTGGGCTGTGGAAGACACCATGTATGCACCAGGTCCAGGGGTCATCTCTGCAGCACCGTTGGGACCTGGACATAGTCGATGGGAGTTAGCCGTTCGAGAAAGAGTTTGCAGATTCCCACTCACAAACAAATGATCCTGAGGAAAATCTAGGATGTTGCACACGACACGGTGCCGAAATGTTTGTACGTATTTCACTCTTGGGTTGACTTGGTGAGATCGCTACTAATAGCAAGGTGCATCACTACGAGTAACTAGTAGCTAGAAGCTACTATCTTCACTAAGGAACTTCTGGATTCCGTGGAGTTGCTCCAGGACGCGCACGGTTGGAAGTGCCAAAGCGCCAAGAAGGCGTCTTGCTCGCAGTGATGTCGCCCTCATGTCAGATCTCTGTACACACATGGCTGGCTGTACCACAAGAATTCATTTCCGCAGGTTGTGAGGACAGCACTTGGGAGTAATCTCCGGGTCCAGGAAGGACTTGTTTTTTGCCAATGTCCTGGGTCTCAGAATGCGGTTTCATCTAAACGTTTTGATGGAATGCTCTGAATGCATTTTCCATAAGAAAGATTGTTCCATATTGTTACTAGTAGCGTCCTTGCTACTAGTAGTAATGCCAGGAGCTACTCCTAGTTGCGATGCCCTTTATTACTAGTAGCATCCTTGCTACTAGCAGTAATGCCAGGAGCTACTAGTAGTGTCCTTGCTCCTGGTTGCGATGCCCTTTGTTTCTAGTAGCATCCTTGCTACTAGTAGTAATGCCAGGAGCTGCTAGTAGTGTCCTTGCTCCAAGTAGCGATGCCCTTTGTTACTAGTAGCGTCCTTGCTAGTGGTAGTAATGCCAGGAGCTGCTAGTAGCGTCCTTGCTCCTAGTGGCGATGCCCTTTGTTACTAGTAGCGTCCTTGCTACCAGTTGCCCATGTCTCGCTGCTGAACACACCGAGACTGCGACAATTTTCTGCCCTGCCGAGTACTTGGGAGATTTGCCCACCATGGCCTGCTTGGATTGGTGTGCTCTTGCTGTAAGTGCAGCATGGCTGCTTCGTTGCACATCTTCGTTTGCAGGAAACGCGACAGGAATGCATGTTGTGCAGATGATGCATGTTGGGGCTCACATGCATAGTTGACATCACTTGATCCACTGTGTTTCCCAAGTTGCCTCAATTTCATAGTCTCCAGGCCCAGGCAGGTCCCCGACGTCACCAACTTTCTGCCGCTCTCGTCGCGGCGTCATGGTCCACTTGGAGGCCGTCAAACCAGCCTCCTGAACTTTCTGGAGGCACACTGAGATACACTAGGCAGAGTTCTTACATCGAATCCGCTGGAGTTGCTCGAGTGCCTCACCCGTTCCAACTGGGTCACTACATGTCACCAACCCCCTTAGATCGTTTGCTCAGATCGCGCGGTCCTTGGCCAACTCGTAGGCGCCAGGCCCTGGGATCTTCTGTTTGCCAACAGGATCTCGCCCCGACAAACCAAAGGAGAAAATGGGCCCCTGGCATGAAGACGCGTTCGCGACAGGCTTTTCTGCGTGAAAAGATTGATTTCAAATGATTTCAAAAAGAATAAGAAAGCGTTCCAAGCCTTCTGGTATCTTGACCTCAAGACAATTGAAAGTCTCTCAGTTTCATGTCAACACAGCAAGTCCATTGGACAAGGTGCACTGCATCCATTGCATCTGCGCGTGGATCCAGGTGATACCTCAATGCTTCTCCCACGGACATGGAGATTGGTCAACCAAGTCAAACAATGCTAAACCCTTGATCCCAAGTGTGTTGAAGGGTGTTGCCATCTTGCACCAGTCCAGGAGAAGTATGAAGAATGATTGAGTATGATAATCTTGTGCTTGCCACGTTATCAGACAGTGCATCAGTGTGCTGTGCATGGGGCTTTCAGCTCCAGCAAATAACCAACGCCTGCATGTATTTGCTTTGGTTTTCCAAACCGGAGGTGCGTCTGCCCTACGATTTATGAAAGCATGTCTCAATAGCTAGATCAACAAGAAAACTTTATCTCAATCCTTAGAAGCCGTCATTGCTGCCGGCGCACGCGCCGGGTCCAGGTGGAAGAAATCGCCGTTCAAAGTCACTGGACTGGTTAAAGGTCCATCTGCCAGCCGCATGAGCACATCATACGATCACATCTAACATCTAAGACGACAATTCTTCAGGCACAATCTCACAAATTTGAAGCCGGCTGCTCGACATCATCTCAGTAAAAATTCACTTCCCATGATGTTTCACACCACTACAGCCTGGGTGATCTTCGAATGTGTGAAAGGCCATGCATTCGTGGAAACTCCTTTCCAAGCACACAGCACCTCTGCTGTTTCTACAATCCTTTACCTCTCATGGCAAAGCCTCTGCTAAATGTACTTCCAGGAAATCTACAGTAAAAGAATCTGCCAAGACGTGAGCCTCATGCAATCAATCTCTAAAGCAGCAAAGGGGACGTAAAGTTTTTCCAAAAGCATTGCCATACCGGCCATATCTTGGCAGCCCTAGCACCTCTCACCGAGGCAAGCACTCTCTCTCACCCACACCCAAGCACCCCCCAGTACCCTTTCCTCCTTTGTGCGGTCCCGAGGCAACTCGCCTCAGTCGCAGTGCGATAGAAAGCTTAGACCCGTCGACTACAGTGGATGGAAGTGCTCGGTGAATCTATGCATCTTCCAAGCGATGTTGAGAGCACATGTGTAAAAATCTAAATACACCAAAAGTCTTCAGCCTTCATGGTAGATCTTTGGCTCTGGCTCTGCCTTCATTCTGTGTGAACCATACTTCGGTTCATAGGCGGGACAGTACGATTGTCCCCGAGTCCCCGCACCCAGGGAGCCATCAACCAGACCCTCCGCAGCAGCTACAAGGGCAGACAAGACCTCCTGTGACAGGGGCTTCCCGCTCCGCTGGAGCATCCTTGGTAATTCGTTGCAAAAGAATAGCTGAATAGCAACATCTTTAAATGGTTCTTCTTTCGTCCGGTTTCTCTTCTGTTCACTTCTGCTCTCTTCCCCCCCCAAAAAAAAACGAGCTCAAGAAGGCAAGCTTGTGGCCACTCGGCCGACTTGGGTTAGGCCGGTTTGGTTGCACACTTGGAGTCGGGCTCAGCCAAAGTCTTTCCGCGCACGGCAATTTGGAGCTCTTGGAGGCTGGTGATGCCTACACGGCTCAGCCTCGCTTCGATGGCCTCCATGTCCTGCAGATCGTCTCGACAGGAAGTCGCCGTCAGTCGCTGGTTTTCAAGGTCCAAGGTCAAGGTAAAATGGCGGGTTCTTTGCGGGTTGCAGGGATCCTCCACTTCAGCAAGAATCATTGGACGGACATGCACCGCTTTCAATGCACCTGCAAATGATCTATATAAATGCTTTGGCCCAAGAAGTCCTTCTTGCCTATCCCGAAAGCTTGGAGGATTGCACTTCAAACAGGTTGACTGAGAAGTCAAATAAGTCAAACAGCATCTAATAGCAATGGCCTCCACCCCAAGAGCGATGGCCACCCTAATAGCGATGGCCTCCAACCTACCAGCGAGGGCCTCCAACCTAATGGCAATGGCCTCCACCCTGAGATCGTAACACTTGTTGAGCAAAAAAAAGTGATGCGAAGAATACACAAATGACACACAGGTCCTTCTTTCGCCACGGCCTAGATGGCTGCGCCAGCTGCAACAAATCTCTCACGGAGTTTGGTGGGGCCATTTCTGCGCAAACCAGAAACAATTCAAGGGGCAGACGGTCAAATCATGCTGACTTGCAGGTCTTCCAGCAGGTCTACATTGTGCTCCCTGGCTGTAGAGTTGCAAACCCATGCGAGAGAAGAGCGTGGCAGGATGAGTCTCAAAGAGGCCCTTTAAAATGTTCAACTCATGGTCTTTTATTATTGACACTAGAGCATCAACGGCACATGCAGCACTTGTACCTGCTACTTACAAGTGCTGTTGCAATGCCAAAGCATGCCAACGGTGTGATGCAATACCAGTTTACAGGCAGCAAGGACATTTTGGAATCACATCTTAGGTATGTCTTGGTAGAGCCTTCAAGAAGCATGACTTTCTGCTATTCTCATCTTTCCTTTACAAATCTGTGTGTTCAGCTCCCGTGCTGGGCTGTTTCGCAACATCTCCTCTCCTCGCTTCACTGCTTCTTGAGTTGTGAATCAGAGCCGTATGTCCATGGTGCTTTGCGGTGCTTTACATTTACTAATAGTGTCCTTGCTCCTAGTAGCAGGAGCCCCTAGTAGCGTCCTTGCTCCTAGTAGCGGGGCCAGGAGCCCCAGTAGCGTCCTTGCTCCTAGTAGCGAGGCCAGGAGCCCCTAGTAGCGTCCTTACTCCTAGTAGCGAGGCCAGGAGCCCCTAGTAGCGTCCTTGCTCCTAGTAGCGAGGCCAGGAGCCCCAGTAGCGTCCTTGCTCCTAGTAGCGAGGCCAGGAGCCCCTAGTAGCGTCCTTGCTAGTAGCGAGGCCAGGAGCCCCTAGTAGGAAGCCCCTAGTAGCATCCTTGCTCCTAGTAGCGAGGCCAGGAGCCCCTAGTAGCGTCGTTGCTCCTAGTAGCGAGGCCACGAGCCCCTGGTAGCGTCCTTGCTCCTAGTAGCGAGGCCAGGAGCCCCTACTAGCGTCCTTGCTCCTAGTAGCCAGGCTTGCTCCTAGTAGCGAGGCCAGGAGCCCCTTAGTAGCGTCCTTGCTCCTAGTAGCGAGGCCAGGAGACCCTAGTAGCGTCCTTGCTCCTAGTAGCGATGGCAGTAGCGTCGTTGCTCCTAGTAGCGAGGCCAGGAGCCCCTAGTAGCATCCTTGCTCCTAGTAGAGAGGCCAGGAGCCCCTAGTAGCGTCCTTGCTCCTAGTAGTAAGGCCAGGAGCCCCTAGTAGCGAACCTTGTTACTATTCTTTTCAGAATGACCCCTACATCCCGGCGTCACGTGTGCCAAGCCTGCCCTGGTCTTGCCGCGGGGCTCACAAGCAATCTTTTTTCGGCTCATAGACCAAAACAAGGCTTGCATGGCGAATTGCGGGTGGCTGTCGTTTCATCACTAACAGGGATTCTTCAAAAGGACTTACTCTGAGGAAGCTTGTATTTCAAAAACCCGTCGTGATGAACGCAGCTCGTGAGTACTTGAAGCCAGGGATGGAGCTTTGGCAGAGTCAGAAATCCGACCTAACCCCACAATGTTTTATCAATAGTCTGGGCAAGATCTCCAGTTGGATCTTGGTGTTACGGCAACTACCTGTTGACCCATGGACAAGAGGACAAGTTAACTATCCACGTGCCTGTTTCCGCATTACACTTCGGGGGTCCTTGGTCCTACGAGCCGTGTGGCTAAATCTTCTTCTGCCAGCTCCTCCAAAAACATTCATCAGCCCTTCGTCTCTCGACCATTTTCAAGCAGGAAAAGACAAAGGAGTTTGGCCGAATAACGGGCTTGCGGACGGCAAGGTGAGGATTGAAGATCTCCTCTGAGCCAGGTCTGCATGCTCCAAGCTCACTTCTTAAGATTCTGAGCAAATCGAGAAGTGCATCTGTATGACCAGACCCCAAATGGAATTTTGGTTATCAACAAAAGTGTGTGAACAATCTAACCGGTAGCTAGCAATGACTGCCATGCTTTGGGACGGACAAACCCGTTGTGGACAAATACATCTTCAGTTCATCAAAGAGCTTCTTTGAATCCGGCTTCGGTGGTTGGCTGTGGAAGCACCTTGTCTGTGTGTGTGTTTGTGTGGAAACCCTCCTGTGTGTCTGGGTGTGTCTCCTCCATGAACGAACACTACATTGACTCCAGCAATCAACTCCTGGAATCTGGAGTGTGAGTGCTACGGAAAAGGCGCAGAGGTGAGGTATCCAATCCGATCAATCCGATCAATCCGATCCCACACATTTTCAGTCTCTTCGAGACACTGCTCAGCGCCGTGTGCGTGCTCAACGTGCTCAAAGCGCTGCCTCAATAGAGTGGAAAGAGGGTAAGGGCAAGGAGGTGTGTTTTTAAAATTTTAATGAAAAGAGGAAGGTAAGGCCTTTGCCTTCCTTTCTTCATCTCTTCTTTCTTCGTGTGACTAAGAGTAGATAAACTGGTTTCCTTTTGAACTGGTTGCTCAGCAGCAGTTGTTCTTTGTTCAAGGGCCAAGGCTCCACAACAAGTCCTATCAGTATTGTAGTCCCTCTGTGACTCTGTGTGTAGGTTGATTTCAAACGCTGTTCCACGCTTAGTCTTCACCACCGGTTCCAAGTTCTGGGCCACGCTGAAGTGTGATGAGAGGTCTTTGCCTCTACCTCAGAGGCCCAGTGCCAGGGCTTTGCCCGCATAAAAAGTCATCAAACACCAACGCATTCAGCTAGACACCCATCCCAACGTTTATTTGGAACAGTGAACAATGCTTCTTGTCACACCCCGTTGGAGACTGCCCTAAACTCATAAACCTGCAAAATCAATCATTCAGTTCCAAGGTCTGGACATTCTCAGATTCTGAAACGAAAGTTGCCGACCCCCATCTCAATATCAAGCATCTGGCGAAGCAAAGCCGAGACAAATGCTGCGTCACTTCACATCATTCATCTATGAGATCATCAACTTCAAGTTATAAAAAATACTTTGGATGCATTATCGTCACAGCTCTGAAGGTTTTGTCAAGTTTGCGTGTTCATTTATTTGCGTGTACTATTGCCACTCACTGGTGCACAACTATTATATAAGACTATAGTCAAGCTGTACGGCCCCAAGTGCTGAGGATCCTCACTGGGAATCACCTCCCCCTTGATGACACGCTTCCGGTAGACCTTCGACAGCAAAGCTGCTTGGATTCTGCATCGATCTAGAAGGGTCGATGGTGCTCGGCACACAGAGCTCCGGGCCGTCTTCAAGCCTGGGTAGCCTGACAAAGTGGGGTCTGAGAATTGAATACAAACAAACTTGAAAAACAAGAAAAGAGCAGGATGTCATTGGCCTCAGTTTGCACAAGGAAGAAGACTATTCACAGTTGTAGAGTGGCCTCGAGAGCTGCGGTCTTCCTCAATGTACCCCACGTCCTTTGAGATGCGAACCTGGCAGTTTCGTGGCAAAACCAGGGTCTAAAAGCATTGCCTCGGCTTTGTATGAAAGAGAACCACGGGCCAGCCCGGCTGCATTCTCGTCAATCTCAAGCTGCCTGCATGCTGCAGCGGTGCTTCAGCACAATTCAAGAACATGGTCTTCTCAGCCCGTGCTACGCTCTGGCTGCTTCTTATGGCTGCTGACAAGCAAGCCTCTTCAAGATGCGTCGAGCACACAGAAACTGATTTTCATCAGGCCCTTAGAATTCGCAAAAGCGGGAGACAAACAACCAGTTGCAAGTAAGGAGCCCGAGAAAAACACCATTGTGGGGTGTAGATGGTATCGAGTGAGGGACAAGAGCTGGATGCGATGGATGAGACCGGATTGAAAGAAAAATCCACAAATTGTCAAATAAGCATTCTATGAGGGAAGAAACAGACTTCTGCCAGTGAAGTGACAGGGTGGGGGGGGCACAGCAGCTGCAAGCTTCTTGCTTCTACATAAAGATCCCTATCAAGCACCATGACCACGGAACCTGATTCGGAAACAATCAAAGTCCAGTCCTCAACCTCGGGTACCAGATTCTACAGTTCAAATATTCCAGGAGCAGGGAATAGGATTTCTGAATCCGAAAACCCGCGGATTCAGAATGCGTTGCGCAAGAATCAGTCGAATCCTGTACCCAGTTCAACGAAAGTTGCTCAGAGCTCTCGGTCCTCTCGGTCGCCCGACGTCGCTTTGCACCTGGGATGCGTGCCTGCGGAGCCAAAAGACAGACCTTGAGCCAACCCTGAAACAGCATGGAGCTCCCATAGAGTTTCCATTCAACGCGCCTGGTAGCTGGTCTTGCCATCAGGCCACATCTGCAGGTGAGGCCGAAAAGTTCGGAACTGATGTGTGGCTTTCTTGCCTTATATATTTTTGTCTACTCAAAGCTGGTTGAACCCAATGTGTTACTTTGATTGTGCAATGTTCTTTTGCAAGCGCTTGCCATAGTGATACAGCCTGTAGCATCATGTGGGCACAGCATTGTCAAACGATTGGTGGCATTGCAACAACAATGAAAAGGACCATCATTGAGCCATGACAAAGAAACATGTCCTATATCTGGAAAGGAAATATCGGCGGTCTGGTCTGACCACTCGCTGCGCGCAAACGAGCCTGGGCAGTCTGCACAAGAGTCTCCTTCGTTTCAGGATTGTGAAGGATCAACATCACCACCTGGCTCAAAGAATTGGTCTCTCAAGGTGTAAATTTTAAATGCAAAGATTCGCGTCGAGCATCCAAGTGCATGCAAATGCTGATTGACATAAGTGCAACCTCATGAGCAAAAAAAAAGCTCGCAGGTGCTCTTGGAACTAACCCTTTCCAGTCCTACACAGCATTAAAAAGCCTAGATAAATTCGCTTCTGGAAACCAGCTAAGATCTCAAAGGCCACTGATGATTACCTTCCGTCCATACCTTAGAGAGTCAAAACCAGCTACAGCGACAGAAGCCCATGCCGATTGGCTGTCGCAATGACCTGTCCTCAACGTATGTCAGTATATAAAACTGATGGTGTGGAGGAGCACACCAGAAAGGAGCATCGTACAGCTTTTTTGGCCAATCTCCTACTTGACTGTATAAGTAGGCGCCTACTTCATTAAGTAAGGGAGAACTTAGCCTAGTACCTTGAAGAAGCGCTCGCACTAATCATTTGGTTCCTAGATGTTTACGGAATTTTACATGAGCCCTTTGGCGCGTTTGGGCCACTGCGGACACCAGCCTCAGTGATCACCAAAATCTCGCCACTAGAGACCTGCAACTCTTCAGTAGTGGTGACCAATCCATACAAAATGAAGGCTTTTCGGATGGAGTGGTTGTTTTGTGTCGTGCAGCTTGCAGAAGGACCTGTTCCGTTTTGCTCGGGCGCAGTGTCACCTAGTGAAGGGATGAACAATGGAGAGCAAGGTCCTTGAGCCCCAACTTTCGGGCTTCAAGATTAGGTGGTCCTCTGTGGTGCTGCATAGGGCCGATCAAAGAACAGCGTCTAAGTATGGGGAGGAAGTCAGACTGTCTCAGCATTGAGGGATAAGACCGTCAAAAATCTAAAGCGATTGGAAAAGATCTGCCAGACAGCGGTTTGTCCCGAATCCTGCGGAGCTAAGCCTGTAAGAGACGAGTTTCTCCTTTGATGAGCTCTGAGGAGAACTCTTTCAGAGACCTCAGGGCGGAGCAAAACGGCCCAGTTAAAGAGGAGACACGCTACCCTACCACCGAACGACCTCCAAACATAATTATCATTGCTCTGTTCTTTTCCCTTCCTTCCCTGTGATACATACTAGAAGCATAAACAAGCAAGGGTTAGGAATGATCGAATCTCTGTCAGATTGGACCTGTAGCGTCCTTCTTCCTAGTAGTGATGCCAGGAGCTCCTAGTAGCTTCTTGCTCCTAGTAGTAAGGCCAGGAGCCCCTTAGTAGCGTCCTTGCTCCTAGTAGCGAGGCCAGGAGCCCCTAGTAGCGTCCTGAGTGGAAGGCTTGGTTCCGTCATGCCCAAATTTCGAGATGTCAATCCTCAGTGCTCACATCTCATGAAGCTCGAGGTAATGGCCCACGTCATTGAGCTGCACGTCGGAATGCTCAATGACCATATTGTGTGTATACATATATATATATATATGTATATCAACTAATCTGTTTGAGTGCATCCAATAGGATGCCGAATTCTCCGAGAATCCTTTTATGGGCGGGGATCTGCATCCAATCCTGCATCGTTCTGAATTGTCATGTTTGCCTCCATCCTTCTCACTGAGACCTGAAAGCACAATGGAAAAAAACAGCCCCACATTTCAAGGGAAGCACAAACTCCCTGCAACAAATGAACGAGTAGGAGGCTATTGAGAGAGTTTGTACAGTATATTATAGCGGAGCTTCACCAAGGACCCTGCGAATGGGACACCAAATATTCTCGCAAGGCCTGGTTTGGTCAAAAGACAAGCTGCAAAGCACTTGAAAGGAAAGAGGCTGAAACTACAAATCCACTCCTGACACGTGTCCGTGCATTGTGCAGGATCCTGGACTAAGGAGATCAGGGATCAAAATACTGTAATAACCTTTGGGAGTACGCCCTAAGCCCTTGCGTAGCCATATCTCTCATATCTGTGTACAGTTGCACAGCCACCGTGCCTCCTCATCCAGGCCAATTGGTGCACGCACCAATGTGGAGATCTTAGGTAGTGGGACATGTCTCATGGAGCAAAACGAGGCGGGACATGGGTAATCTTCGGACAGAAAAGAATGGTAGCCTTTTTCTAGTCAACATATCAAAGCTGAGTTACATGGCTCGGCTGGCTTTCAAAGTCTACGCAAGGCCCCAGCCCAGCCAATCGTACCCAAGACTATGTTTGTGAAGCCACGGGCTCCCGCACTTGCGAGCCATGTACCTTAAGCTTCACCTTCGAGAGCATTAGAAAGACGCTCTTGAAGTTGGAGCAAGGGCAAAACGCAACGTCCGAGGACCCATCAGGACTCTGATCAGCTTCGATCAGAATCAAATCTACGGAAATGCGTCCCTCTGGAGACTGTCTGAATCACAAAAACTGAGATTCTCACCACCACTTCTGCAGTTTCTTTTGTGTATCATGCATGCTTGTCAAAATCAGACTGGTCTCTCTTTTGGCCCATCCCAGTCGACCAATCAACAAATCCCTTTTCTGCGTCGTCAACCGTTAGTCGGGCCTTCTTGTTTTCAGCCTCCGAATCCGTCAGCCAGGTGAAGAACTTTGTGTTCCCCTTCGGAGCGGAGCGCGGAGCGCGGGGCGCGGCTTGCGCCGAGAAGAGCATAACTTTCACCCAAAGCCTGGAAACAATAGCTTTCTTCATCGGCAAAGCTTGGAATGGTACTGAAAAGTGTGAAGACCCGCTTCATTTGCCTACGATTTCACAAGCTGTGAAAGCAGCGATGATCTTTGGAACATGCCAGCTATGCCTTTATTCAACTTGATTCATTCATGGTCCAAATAAGAAACAGGTGGTTGGCTGGTGCCCAATACATCTTGAACCCAAGTCACCTGTGGGTCGGTTGCGTTCCACTGCTGCATTGACGGCAAGCCAACCTCAAATTGTTCAGATGCGCTCTGTGGGCGGAAGAGACTCTATTGTGACCCTTTTCCATTCTTCAAAAGATCTACAGTAAGGCCTTCAGTCACTAGCCCAACTTGTCTAATGTCCATTGCCGATCCACACAAGAACAGGCACCAGGTCCACGACCTTCTCCTGCAAAGCCTGCTCACGAAGATTCAAATCCACAATAACCTCCCACATTCCTCTTTTTGCAAACCGCCCGGGAAATTGACCACGGGATTTTCAGGGAATCTTGACATCTCAACCTGTGTACTGGGCTTAAGCACAAAACCAAGTGTCATACCCTGCGATGAAGTCTCCGTCTGTGAAATCTGAACTGCAATTGTTTGCATCACATGTGACTACGAGCCGCCCTTCCCAATGCCTTGTCAGGGGTGGTCACCTTACACTCAACTAGCTCCTTGCGGTAGACAGTGGTAACACCCTGGCACAGGCGCAAGGATGCTCATGTCTTTCATTAGCACATACATGTAGATGATATAGATATAGATGCAAATTGTAGATACCAAAACCTGATTGGAAGGTGGCTGTCTGAAAAGCAATGTGGACGGTAGAAAGCACGTCACAGAATGCCCAAAGCTAAACAATCCTGGCTGTTGGTCCCCTGCAAAAAGAATCAAAGAAAAAGCACCCGAAAGGCTCACCTCATGTCACCTCTAGCTTGGTAGCTTGAGAGGCAGGATCAGTTACCGTGTTGGAGGAGACGGAGAGAGCAGGGCAAGAACATTACAAACACCGGCTCGACGTAACCCAAGCGAGGCACTGGGAAGGAGGGCGAGTCGGTTTCCTCTTCTTGGCGTTCTACTGTGGAGAAGTCGAACGTCACCTGTCGGAAAAATTCAGGCATGCATGTAGCCCCACAACTTCCTGCATGTCTTACGGCACCTCTCGGACTTTATCATACCAACCTCTAACTCGATCATCCCAAAACATTTGAGCAGATGTCACACGTCCATATCAGCGGGCAAATACTAGTACTATTCATTCTCTCAGCATCGAACCATACTGGGATCCATGTTCATCATCTCCCGCAAGATGCGCTCAGAGGTCTGCCTGGCACAAGACTTGCTGGTCAACTGTTGCAGCCAAAAACAGCCCTTCCGATGTCACGCCGCGGGCCTGGCGTTCTCATGTGGCTCCTGGCACGCGTGTTTGTTTCTGTTTGAGAAGATAGATAAGTCTTACCCTGGGCAGCGCGAAAGAGCTGACAATCAACAAGCTAAGATGGCCATAGCTACATTCACCCAACAAGACCACTCACGAGATCTCCATAAACTCTGTGACTCAATATCTTCAGACCAATGACGCACTCACAAGCCAGAGACATCCAACAAAGACCCTCCAAACCCTAAACTTCCTAAACCCCAAACGACTTCCACTGCTCGGTGCTCCGCCATGCTCGGCCTTCTTGGTGCCAGGCAATCTAAGGGTCTCGCGCTCACGGCCATCAGGGAATTGCTCCTAGGAATGCAATTATCTCCACGCTCTATAGTAGGTTTCTACTTTGATTAGTCTACTGATTGGTGGATTGACAAACCGACTTAAACTGACCAAATGAGCAGATTGAACAACAATGCGCTGTCTCTGCACCCATCATGTGGATGCTATTCCACCAACACAATCTGCCGGAGCTGTCGAAAAAGACTTATATATAGTAGAATAAGTAAAAAAATACTATAACTTAGTATAATACTATATAATGCAACATATATGTATATATATATATACAGTATATGAATTCCACAGTCCTTGAACTCGACTAATAGGCGCGACCCGTCATCAGGCCGAAGCTTCCTCACAAGAATGTGGCTAAAGAATTAGGTTGTAAAGAATGAATGAACCTCCATTGTGTTCTGAAGCTTTGCACTCCAGAGTTTGCTTTAGGCAGAGTCATCAGACTACTGGGACCCTTCTGCAAAAAGAGTGTTCAAATCTGTCGTCGAAATGAGGTGTTCCTCGTCTATCTCATACTCATACTTCAACCTTCAACTGCCACAGCAAGGCCAAGCTGGCAGCTAGTACAGGTTTGGAAGCTTGTATTGCAATTGCTGTCTGATTAGGACCGATGGCAACAGAACGTATCAGGTTTCCTCCCATACCCACCCAGAATGACAAATTGATCATCTCCAGAACCGATATTGTGATTGTTATCTTAAGCCTTGCATAAAGTACGCCGTCCGCGCATCAACGCTCGAGTCCAAATGCTTGGCGGAGTCCATGTGCGAGAAAAACAAAAATGACGCTGCAGCTGCAGCAGCTCATGTCAAAGGTGGGCAAATGTTGGGCATAGTCGACGGGAATGAGACGGATATTCATCAAATGAAAAGGGCTCCCTGCTCTGCCCCACTCATAGTCAGTATCTCATCATGATGTGGTACTCTCATCCTACTTTCATTGCTATAAGGTTGGGGGCCATCGCTACTAGGGTGGAGGCCATCGCTAGTAGGGTAATAGCTCTACTGTCATATGATTCCGCAGGTTTACCATTCCCGCAAGTCCATGCAACATGCAGCTTGGAGCCCAGCAGAACCACAATGTCCACCACTCGCACCTCAAGCAAGCAAACCTCTTGCACTTGACTAAACGACAAGCAGCCCGCCCACCGTGAACCAGTAGCGCGTAGCTGTATGTTTCTTAAAGCCTAGGGCATCTAAGAATCTCATCTTCATCTGTTCATGCCATTACACTGCAGCTTGGAGGTGGATTGATGCGACAAATATAGTCCAGCTAGACTCTCAGCCGTCTGAATGCCGACATCCGCCGCAGCAAGCGAATCTTCGTTTTGACTATGTAAGCGATTGGGGTGTGATTGCGCGGCCCGCGTCTGGCAAACCAATGGCTCATTCTTCGTGTGTTCAAAAGCCTGACACTTTCCACAACAGTAATGCCCCGTCAACCGATCAAGTCCTCAGCTAGGCACCAACTTCTTGTGTTGCTGTGCATCCAGCATGAGCCTTCAGTTTGTGATGAGCCATCAGTCTCGCTGCATCAGGGAATCTTATTTGAACTTTCAATAACCATCCAAAATTATGTAAGGATGAACTTCTCATCAGCTCAAGAGGGGCAGGTCGGGCTTAAATCATACACTGTCTTATTTCATCAGCCAACCAAACCAGCAGAGCGCCTGCTTGCTCCTGTTTCTACCTCCTTCGCCAACTGTTCGATTCCTTTTGCCTCAGCAAAACCAAGCTAATCAAATGTGTCAATGCCACTACAAATGTTGGTGACCAGATTGCCAATAAAATCACAGTTTTCCTGCACAAAGACAGCTGGTTCTCCCTCATGCTGTCCATAAGGCAAAGTCAACCCCCTCCCCGCCAATGCCTTTCCGACACCAAATTGGTTCGGGTCAATGTTGTGCCTCAGAGATTGAGAATGTTCAACGTTGTGATCAGCAAGAAAAGCAACTTTCACAAGAGTCAGTCAGAATGTATTTGGGATACTATAAGTTCTGTAAAGCAACAAAAAAGTGAGGCATCCACTCCACAAGCGTCTTCCGGAACATAGCCAAGTCCATAGGGTCATCCTTGCATGGCAATGCATAGAAGGCATGAAAATGTTGATTCTGTAGTCTGTGCCTGTCCATATCATGGCACCATGCCGTCCATAACTGAAACGAAAGAAGCGTTGCAGTGTAGCGGGGCGCCTTGGGTGCTGCGGCCAAGTTCTCAAAGTCTAAGAGCTTGTCCTTTTTCGCCTGCGAGGCTTTGCGCTCATATCTCGTGGGCGAAGATCAGTGCTACGGTGCTACGCCTGCTACGCCCTTGTGGCAATTCCCTGTGCCACCTGAAAAGTGCCTTGTAGTCATACCATGGTCTTGGCAGGTGCTTTGCGCAACATAACTAGGCCCGTCTTCAACTACCCTTGCCAGACATCCATCAAAATAGCTTAGCCTATCGGAACACTAGTATATTACAGTACATGGGCACCAAAACAATAGGCATTGGCTTTGCAATGGCAGATATAAGCATTCTGGTACCTTGCTACCTGGCGAATCCACCAATCTCTGAGTTACTGGTCGACACTACTATGCATTGTGAATCACAAAGACAGGCAGGCCCCTTCAATCCGCATCCCAGAATACATATATACTCGGGCAAAATCAAATGGATAAATTGCTCAAGCTCGCCTGCCTATTATATAAACGCCAGAACTACAGTTTCTCAGGCGTTGGGCTTGCTGTAGACTTCGGTGCGCCAAGCAAGCTCAACATGGCTGGCAAGTGCCAGTGCCACAGTGCCTGATCCTCGGACCACCACTCGTACGAAGCCTTGCCACCTTGTACCTGCGAAAGTCATGTGGTTCAGCTTTCCAGAACCTCAAAGGAAAACTACTCAGCCTGGTGGTTGGATAATCGCTGAACCATGCGATAAGGAAGAGTAACAGTATGCTGCAATCTGAAAGCATGGCAGTTTACTTTCTCAAACCTCTAGAAACGCACGAGCTCACGAGCTCCCTTTATGTCCTGCTGGTGAGCCTTGCCCAACGGACCAACGGAATACAACCTGGATTCTTTGCTGAGTTCTTCCAAATCCTACAGAAGCAACTTTTACAGTATATATATAGTTGTTATTGCGATGTATATATTTGTTTCGCACCGTCCAGGCAACACAGGCAACACAGGCGCACAATCTTGTCTGCAACCACAAACTTTTTGTGCTTGTGATTTTGCAGCTGCCTCCTTAGGTCATGTTGCGAGTGACCAATCTGAAATCAAACAATTCCTTCAAGCAAACAACTTCAAGGATTTTGTTTTGAAAAACGGTGACATCTCCGTGTCCAAGCTCCCAAGCTTAGTCACATTACCCTTGCGGCTTTCAGCCTCCCGATTCATGCGCTGGATCAGCTCCTAGCGCCAGAACCGACGAAGATCGAAGTAAAGATGAAACCGATGCCGGCACTCGAAGAAAATGACTTCCTAACGGACTGGTCAAGTTTTGTGCTCACACAATGAAAAGAGAGAGAGAGAGAGACAAACAGAAACACGCACTGTCAGAGGCTCGGCCCAGATTCGTCTGAGCTGCTTCCTCTTTTAGGCGGGGAAATGAAGACATCCAGACATTGGAAAGGCTGATATCGTTTGCTCTTCGGGCACCTTGTCCGTGCATTTGGTGCTAAGAGCAAAAATGTCTCTCTCACAGAGCAAGAAATCACATCAATCCCGTCGGGGAGTCCTGCCGTCTCTCCTTAATGCCATCGTTCACACCAGCCTCAGGGCACTGAGCTGGCAAACGTTGGGTACCAAAGGTATCAAGTGTCTTCACATCAGCCTAGAGATAATTGGGAAGGGCCCGGAGAGGGGACAGCCCAACTTCACCAAGGGGCAGCACGCTGGCTGAAGCATTGCTCGTCCCGATTGGTCAGAAATATCTCGTTTCAAGACTTCCCAGTTCCGCCTCCTGCATGCCATCTGCCTGGTGATCATCAGGCCTAGCTGCTTGGAGATATTCACATGATATTCTTGTCAAAAGGGCTTTGAGCTTGATTTCAGACTGTTCTCCTCAATTCGTGCCAAACAGCAAGGGTATTCCCTTGCGGGAAAAATATAGAAAAACACTTCTCGCAAAGCTGCTTGCTGAGTTCCGGGCTCCTCCGCAGGCTTGTCAGCACCATCTGGAGGCCTGTGGAACATGATTTCAATCTTCCACAAAGACTTCCAAACCTCTACGAAACGCATTATATAGACAACTCAAATTCGGGAGAAAAAACAGTGCGTGAAGTCAGCTGGAGGCACTTGCCAAACTTGCCAGCAATCCAGGGATGGGCCATGACCTGCTGTGAAGCAATTACAATGGACAGCCCATCCAGGTGCGCAGATGGGGTGCTTTTTGAAAATCTAGCTCGATTGATTGCCAAACCCTCATTTATTTGACGGTACATGACGCAGTGCCAATGAGGCACTGAGTACCAGCAAGGTGACCTTGACTTACCAACGCATATACAGCAACGCGGGGACATGTTAATAATGATGATTTATTGCACCATGACAAAGTGCTCTCTGACATCCCACCATGCAACTGCACAGCATTGACATGCTGAGATCTGGACGTCTGACGAACTCATCCGTGACTTTTCATGTTTCTCGAGCATCTTCCGGATGAACTCCTGCCCGCATCTGATTAGAACGGTGTTGCTTAAGGGGCAAGAACAACCTATGCCTTCCGACTACAAGCACCTTTGTCTTGGTGTGGGATATGTATATATATATATATCTTGCTGCCTGACTCGCCTGCTTCAGGTGGGCCAATATCTTCTGGGAATTTTTGTGAAACTAATCGCCACCTATGTCTCAGCAATTCCTGACTTGTTCGTACGCTATGCTCGAATGCTCCCTTGTGATGCTCTTCGTCGGATGGTTTTTTGCAAGCTTTTTCTCAGCGGAGCTCCTCACAAACTGGATGCACTCGCTTCGGAATACGTACTTCCTTGTTCCTGCGGCAGGCTCTGGCTGTCATGCCAACGACTGTCCTGACTTGAAGCAGCTGCATGACTCAAACAGGCTTCAAGGGTTTTGGGTCTTAGCCCTGCATAACTCTTGGTTTGCATGAGGAATCCTAGGTCTCCCTTCAAGCGTACCTGACGTCGTTCTCATCCCGGAAGGGGAATCTGCCTGTCAGCCAGAACGATGCATGTGAGACAGACCTGCGAGAAGAAACCTCAAAAGTCAGAGTAACGGCAACAGAGACTCTCTTGGGTCCCCGTGCCACTTACTAGGCCATACATGATGACCCCCATTGCCCAAACATCCACCTGCGTCACCAAGACAATTTGGAGCAACCGGCACCAACTGAACACAGAGTTTTCGACAAACTTGTAAACAATCTGTTAAACACTCTGTGAAGCAGTGCAAAGGATTTCCACCTTGTGACCATAGTCACGGTCAAAAAACTCAGGAGACCAAAAAATCTTTGTTCCAACCTCAGTACGAAAGACTGCATTTATATAATCATTTACGCTCATCCTGATGAGACTGAAGCGCCGAAGGTTCGTATTCCGTATTTGTTCAAGCGCTGAAATTGCGGCTTAAAGTCTTGCCACACATTTTGCCAGGCTACTCCAGAAGAGAGTCGGTCGGAAGGAGTGGCGGTGCAGGCCTTAGTCTGAAAACAGCAGAAAGGCCCTCCGTGTCTCAACAAGTAGTGTGTGCCCAAAATTGTGCCGCACGGAAGCGTGCAAAAGTGTTTCTTGTGTCATCCTGCCTTCCCAACTGTGTTAATGCGAACAAGTGTGACAAGGCGGGTCACCACGGGTTCCAACAGTATGTTTTATCTAGAAGCCGAATTACACCAGCAAGAAAAGTTGAAAATCATGGAAAAAACAGAACATGAGGGTACGTAGGGAGACAAATCAGAGACAAAGACAAAGAGAAACAAAGGCCAAATGGCCACGAAACACAATCCTTTGGGAGGCAAGAAGGAAGACAGAATGCTGCTACAAAAGGATCATCATGCCGTCACCCAGCTGTAGGAAGACAAAGGGAATGATGCTGTGACGGACAAGAATGGAGAACTCAAGGGAGAAAGGGCAAGACAAGGGAGACACAAAGCGAGAAAAGGCCGGGAATCATCTTGGCCCAGGGATGCTTCTAATGGCGATGTGCTTGGGAAACAAACGGATGCGATCTGTCCGCCGATTAGTACCTTGCCCGGTTTACAAGCATCAGATCACAAAGAATTCCTGAAAAAATGTCCAAAACCAAAGGATTCAATAATTCTACTAAGTACAACCTGTGAAACGCTTCCTTTGAGGTAGGCTTTACGCACAACAAAAATCACAAGATGGTACAGCCGCCCTCAGCGTCAACCTACCTCCACTCCACCCAGGATCACCAGGACCACTCCACTTGCACCGAATGCTGCTCCACGTCGCATACCAAATTCAGCTCTTTCACCCTCTGGGATACCCCACAGTGCCAAAATCTGTCAGCACAATCTTGCACTGCTTGTCCGTCATGTTCTGCCATGTGTGAACATCTTCCATGCAAACCATCACGGCTAGCAAAGAACTGACAAACTACCAAAGCAGGGATAAGAATCTCAACCTTGCGATCCATCAAGTAGTTGTCACCCTTGACATCACGATGCATGTAATTCCTGCACCAGGAGCCAAAGGAGGTGATGACTCGTTCAATGCAAGAGACTGGCATTTGTAGGCTTTGGTACAAAGTACTTTTCCAATAAGTGAAGTTCTGGCGGCTACTTTTGCAGTTATGGGTCTCCTCTGATGCAGGTAGTGAATGGAGGCAGCCATCTGATACCTCGCGGGACGAAGGTATCTTTAATCAAATTGGACAGCAATCATGAACCTCGGAAAGAGTGCTCTGAGACACAAACGCTACGTGCACAACGTCCAAGCAGTTGATCTGCCCCCGCTCCTTCCAATATGTATACCGTTCAGGTTGAACTTTGCAGACCGTCTAGAGATTCCTCTAAGTCAATTCCATCCAGCGGGTTGTCACACCACGTTCAACTCCTTCAAGTGACGCTGCAGGCCCTCAACCAAGTCGCCACCGTCCAACTTGTCCATGACAATGCAAACAAAGCACCTCAGGAGCTCATCATGTCCAACCGACATTGCGAGGCCTCCTCTACTGATTGAACTGGCCCCGCCTCTCATAGTAAACACCGTGAAACTTCACAATGTTCGGGTGATCCTTGGGGCATGCGAACCGAAAGAGTGCGTTGGCATGTGGTGTCCTGGATTTGCTTGTAGAGAGCTCTGCAGCTGCTGTTCACATTACATTGTTAGATTCCACAAATTGGTACACATTTGGATTTCCAAACTATTTAAGTTGGCAAAGTGATGCTTTGGTCTCTGAATCACCTGTGGCTTGTCAACCTGGGTGACAAGGCCATGCTTTGCAGAATCTCGGCTTCTTTCTTGATGGCTTCCACGGGCGTCTCCACCTTGTCAACCATCTTCACCTTGTTCAGTTGAATGATGTCGGTCGTTCGACTGCGAAAATAGCTCCTTGGACCGGAAGGTGGTAGAATCTGCTAGAATGTCCATTTGCCAGTGAGTTGCTGCATACTCCTCACCAGTAGCTCGCCTTTTGCACACCTGGACAATTGAAGGGTAAGTCACGTTGTTTCATTTCCAAATCCTGCTGGTCGGCAAATGTCTGAGTCTTGCACGGACACAACGCCGAAGGCACCTTCACCCAGGGTCAGTCCAACCTCTCAGCAGAGTCTAGGAATCAAGCAACAGCAACTTATTTCATAACAATGCAAAAATAGAACGATGGCCTGCTGCAAGTAGCACTTCGTCTAGATTCTGATGACAATGCCAAATTGGGGGGCAAGTAGCACTTTGTCTGGATAGCCAGTAAGTGTGTGGCGACACGACAGAAAGCCACGACTTCTGTTTTGCGCAAATCTTGGTTTGCGCATGCTGCACGATACCGACCCTTTAAAAATGCGAACTGAGCATTTGGACTTGAAGCTGGATCCCAGCTACGGGCGGGAAACATATTTTAAAGAGGCTGGTGTTTATGTGTGTGTGTGTCATGTAGTTTCTTGCTTGTGGCATTTAATAGCAATGAGCAGCCAAGAGATGTTCCCCTCTTTGTTGGTTGTTGCTTGTTGGGTTGCGTCTTGGGCTTGGCTGTTCTGGGTCAAGCTATTGGCAGGCCAATTTTGTGTCAGAATCGGAAGTGTTGAACACCCGCATGACATGGAACACAGCACAAATTCCGGTGAATGTCCATCTTATAACTGATCCTCCCATCTGTCCATCATAATAGATCTGGGCATACAGTGCAGCGGTTCAGCACATAGGGAATTGCAGGTGGCAGGTGTTTGATTTGTATCAACGAACATCAGGTGTAGCAAGTCATTTAGTAGGTTGGAGGCCATCGCTATTAAGTTGGAGGCCATTGTGGTGAACACATCTTACTATTGGCAATTGTTTGCCGTTGATTCGGCCGCCGGGAATATGCATTCGTAGGTAGCCGAGTGCACAACGTTTACGTCAGAGAGGACGTGTTCACAAGAAGTTCTGCACTCAATATCCAGAACTGGGATCGCAGCAGAGTATTCATCCAGCAACCGAAGTTCCTGGGTGCTTTTCTCAGCAGCCTGGCAATCACTGGCTGGCAAGGTTCATCCCGACACATTCCACTTTAAAGTGGTTCAAAAGAAACATCTGGTGGCTCTCTTCTCGGCCCAAACAAACTCTAGATAGAGGTTGCTAGTGCAATGCGCAAATCTCGATTAAGTCATCACTCATGAAAACAGCCACCAAACAGCGACGATGTTTTCCAATAAATTCTGATAGCTTCCTCACACGGGGGCAGACTCCACGTGTTGGAAAAACAATCCGGTGGTCAGTCACTCCGGTCTTCGAATGAACTAATTTTCCAACGATTCAAGCCAAAGGAGCTGACAGCACACCACCAGTTTGTATGTTGTAATACATCCGCATATATATATATATATATATATTTGTATTGTATGTGTATATATATATATATGCGTAAAATATTACGATACAATAATTGAACAAGAATCAAGACTTCAAAACCAATGGAACTGCACGTGCTTTGACACTCTCAGAGGCGACTTCTGGCCTGGTTCCCAGGCATTCCGGGGCTCGCCTTGGAAGACCTTGGCAAGTCTCGAGAACCCAAAAACCTGAAGGGTTGTTTCCTAGTCAAGGACACATTTGGTTTCCCATGAAGGGTCTTTGTACAAATCATCACTGGGACGCACATCGACCGCATGCACTATCGCATTGCAGCAGACCAAGCTTAGGCAAGCTCGAACAGCCCATGGAAGGAGGCCTGAACAGCTCAAAGGAATGGAAAGCCTCTGTCACTTCGAGCCAATGCTGACTCTGAAGGAGTTTTGCCCTTGTCTCCAAGACCACAAAAGGTCCAAAACCCATTGCTGTAGACACTGTAGACTGTTGCTAATGCTACATACCAAGTTTGGCCAGTTGTGTGCACACAGTTTTTGTCTGTCCAAATCCTGGAAAACCCTCAAAGTGTGGTTTAGACAACGAATGCTAAAAGCCCTGTGTTTGCACTGGTTAAACCGATTTTGTCAAGTATACAACACTTGCTGCACATACACCAATGGTCCTTTGATTGCTCGCAAAAAAACAACTATTCATCACCGAAAACTGGACATGTGCGGGGCCAAAGAACGACAGCAGCGAACCAAGTTTGTACTTGGGCCTGCCTCCCAGCCTGACCGATGACGTGGAACGTCCTGCAACAGGATCAATTCAACAGGCTGTTGTCAACAGGTGAAAATTTTTGCAAAGTTTACAAACTATCCTGACTATCTTGTGGATTGCTCACATGTGACTTCACCACCCAGCACATCATAGGACATTGTTGGGATTTCCAATGAATTTACACAGACTGATGCACCATCCTAACTCCACCCTTTTAATGACACAACCGACACAACCTGCAAAACAAATTGCCCGTAAATCTGTTCCACGTCCTCTTGGATGGGACGACTAGTTAGACGCTCACTACTGAATCCAAAACAATGCATGAGCCAAACTGCAGGTTCGGGTGCATACAGTGCATCAATCGGCGCGTGCAATGCGTGCCACATTGGCCTGCACACTAACAACCTTGTGCACAAATACCCCATGGTCGAAAAAATGAATTAAAATGGTGGAAAAATAACACTCAAAGAACAACAATATTTTCGCCCATACAAGTGACAGTACTGTGGCAAAGGGGCATGCCAGTAACACGCCTCAAGCACCCAAGTCAAAACTGTCACGGCATCATGCTTTTCACCATGGTCCTCTTGAACAATTGCAATTCGGATACCCAAGTGGTCCCTTTTACATTCGGTGAAATGCATGTGCACATGCATGGAATATCAGTTTCTTCCTCCAGTGGTTGAAAATGTAAAATTCCAATGCGAAACTCCGTGGGCGCTGCATTTGTGAATGTCTTTCCTGCTTCGGGCACTAATTGCATTGCATCGCCGCTGGAGACGTCAAGTCAATTCTGTTTTCTTCCCGTGGAACAGTTTCTCATCCTGATTTTTTTTCTTGTGCCGCACTCTCCTGCTGATTTTTGCACGGGTGGAGACACCATGTGTGCAGAGGTTGCACAGGTCATCTTATGCTAGTAAAGAGAGTTACAATCCAGGTTGCAATAGAAGAAACACCAAGCACCGACAAAGAAAACCAAGACACCAAGACCCCAAACAACACAGCGACCAAACAAAACCAAACCAGAACCAGCCCCCAGGAACCAACTGCAACCTGGTGCGCAACTCAAGCGGCCATGTCAGCCAAAGTGAGAGAAGGTGAGACCGGGGCGATGAATTCAGCCTTTGCACTCAGTACGCCATTACCACAAAGAGGTGTTGATCAGCATTCCAGCGACAGATCGAATCCTTTGAGTGGAGACCTCTATAGCCGAAGTGTCATGCATGTTGAAAGAGGTCACATTGGGCGAGTACCGTGTTGAGAGCATTGAAGGCTCAGGGGTGTTTGACAGACAGCAATCGAAGCCTGCATCATGGGACTTCAGGTAGCTTGCAAAACTGTCGGCAGTAGACCAGGTAACATGGGAGGCTCAGAGGAAAACCACTGTATCAGCTTACGAAAACTTCAAATTGTCGAAAGCACGAATGCAGCGAAAACAAGACCATGTAGTGTTGAGAGCGCGGACATCACGCCGACTAGGGCAGCTCCCCCCCAAGGGGAGGAGAGTGCATTGATGCTACACCAGTTTGTGGCGGTGACTCCAAAACAGCTTTGCCACGGGAGTCACAGAAAGACAATCATTCCCAAAAGGTCAAGGAGGGACAAACGAGTGGCTCATCGGGAGCAGTTTGATGCGCACCGATTTGTGCAATGTAGGTATGCTGTCTGCGAATGCCTAAAACATGCAAGCCCCGTAATCTAGGTGAAACAAGGTGAAACGCCGTTATCCTATATCTAGCTTGCCATGCAGGCCTGTACTCTTCGTACTCATCCAGGACTGACACTAGGGTGGCAGCCTGGGCACTGTCTAGCTACGCTGTTCTGCTGTACAGAAGATCGTCGAGCATCAACGTGCAGTAAGCAGGACCGACACATGGGCGCCAGCCTGAGAAGCGAGCAGCATCGGCGTGGGTCATTGCGTAGCTCGTGGTAAAACTCTTCAGCCTCAAAAGTCCTACTGCTGCCTTGATTCGGCGGTAGGAGATTGATCCATTTTGGCATGTCGAACTTGTGGCACATCTCGAAAGCGTTACTTTCGACATATGGTCCTCTCCATGTCGTTTTGTCTTTCGTTTTGTGAAGTCTGCTAAGTTGCGCGCAACCAGAGAAAGCTCGGTGGGCAATATACAGCAAGGCTGGAGGGGTATGCACCCCAGAGCACAGCAAGAAAGTTTCTTGTCCGATACGCCATAGTCTCTTGGAGAGACTAAGTTGCTCCAAGTGCGAACAGTGCGCAAAGGTTGACCCCAAAATCGCAGTCAGATCAGTACGGGAGAGATCAACTCGTTGCAGCCGTTTGCAGTTTTCACAGGCGGCTGGTCCTACGAAATTGAAGTCAAATGGCATGTCCAACTGGGCAATTCCCGACCCAAGGAAGCAGCCCTCGGGTATGTAACGTGTACAATTTGCAGGGTCCACCTCTGTTTTTTCGAAGTTGACCTGCCGAAGTGCACTGCATCTTTCAAAGGCATGCGGAGAGACCTGAGCCTGAGGGGCAAGCTGATTGGTTGCGTCTTCAGCAGCTCCTACCTGGGACAGAGAGCAGCATTCCTCAAACACGCAGCGTCCAAATTGCTTGCAGCCTGGGGCCAGGACCACTCTAAGTGCATAGCTTCGTTGAAAGACACCGTCCTGTAGACAGACAACAGTGCTTGGCAGCTTGACTATTTGGAGTCGTAGACACCTTTGCCAGGCGGCCTCGCCTATAGTGTGTATGCCCACTTCCACACGTACACGT